GTTCCGATTTAGCTCAGCAATTTTTAAATCCTTGCTATCAAATGTTATTTTAGGAATTTTAAAAGGAAAATAAGTTTAGAGCGATTTGTAATGAATTGATTTTAATGTTTAGAACTTTGGACATAAAAAAATATATCATTTAAAAGGTAAAGATTCATGACTAAGGGCAAAATGATCAAGGTTAAAATTTCACTCAATATTAAAACGTATGTTTTTTAATATTTATTTCTCTCGAGCAACTTTCATAAATTTTTCCTAAGTGTCATTGCTCAGGACTGAGTAACCTAAACAAACAAGAGCATTTTAATATTTTGAACTAGAAGTACAGTTTCACAAGTGGTTCAAATTACAAAAATGTTAAATTTGTTTCCCATATGCAGTAGGCCAAAAAACCTCTCTACATATTTTATTTTACCATGTGTCTAGGAACTTTTTTCACTCCAATAATTTCATTTTTCATGGGAAAAAGTTTATATAATTCGTAGAGGTGATATGCACTTCAAACCCCCATTGGACAATGTTGTTTCAACGAAAACCTTCAAATTAATCATCTTGATATGGGGATGAATGGATATAAAAAATAAATAGGATTTTAAGTCTAAAAAACATAATAGGATTCTAAGTCTCAAAAGTAGTGCATCTTGTAACACATTATCTGAATCATCATTTTTCAAAAATTTAAAGTGTTCATACATGACTAGCACCACTTTTGGAGTTTTAAAGTTCATAATTAGCAGTTGAAATACATTTTAAGGCATTGTAAGAGTTTCTAGCACCTGAACTAAGTACCAACAAGGTTTGGCAGTGCACCTTACTTTTATTGTTTAATGCAAGTGCCTTGTATAAACCACACCCTACCTTGTTAGTGTTCCTTTGAGACATATACTAATTTCACATTCAAATTTTGTTTTAAATATTTCATATTTCATAAGGATAAATTTGTATTTCTCCTCACTATCCCAACACTCTTTTACAATTATATAAAACAAAATTGAGTTTTGAGATGCATTATATATGTAATAATTTAATGGAGTTTTGTCTTAGTTGATGAGTAACATGTGCTCAATGGTTCATTTTAAAGGGAATTGATGATTCACTTATTGTAGGAGTTAGCTGTAGTAAAATAAAATGGAAAAGTACACAAAGAGACCATTTACCTTACTTATAAAAATATTACAATTACTCTTGTCCATCAAATTTCAAATCAAGCGATCATAAGAGTTCCGGGACAGATTCAATGCTCCAAAAAATAATTTCTCAAACTGTGTGACACACTCCAGACCATCAAATTTGACATCTAATAACAACTAATAATTGTAACCTCATTATACTAAAGATAAATGGTCTCGTAGTATACCATCTTAAATAAAATTATAAAAAATAAGCAAATCACTTTTAAAAATTAAGTCGGGGGCTAAATCAACAAACCTTTTAACGGGGTGGTCACTTTCAAAAACTCATTTAAAGTACTTCAAATATTTTGTTAGAAAATTTCATAATTGCCCTTATTTTGATTTTGGAATTCTGAACAATTTAGTAATTTGGCCACTTAAGATATTTAAGGAAGATGACTTAAATACGTATTGGTTTTAAATCCAAAATATGTATAATTTTAAAATATTATTTAAAACAACTTATTGATGAAGCAATTACCTTTAAAAAATCATTTCACATCTTAAAATATTTTGATAGATATACCTAAATTGCCCATATTCCTAGTTTGTAATATGAGCAAGTGAGAAAATTTTTGGCAATTGATTAGTTGAGGCGAATAAGTTAAATGCCTCCATTTTTTATGGGATCCAAAATCAAAAAATATTTTTCCAGTAAAAATCTATTTAGGGTTTGGATATACCCAAACTACCTTGTTTCGAGTTTGCAATTTGAACAAATGAAGAAATTTTGGCAATGGGGCCACTTAAGTTACTCAAGGCGAATAACTAAAACCTTTGCTTTTTATAGAGTCCAAACTCAAACTATGTTTGTTAGGAAAATCTATCTGGGGTAAGAACCCGGGACGATGTTAATCATGTCTTTTGACTAATGCAACTTAAGTGAGCAAAAATAAATGTCCCACATATTATAGGTTCCAAAAGGGAATAAGCTTTTAAAATAAAAGGCATTTAATAATGTGATTGGAACTTGAAACAAAGTTATTTAATCATATGATGGATTAAGAACCTGCAATAGGGCCTATTTGAGTATTTTTTTCTAATTATTCAGTTAGATAGTTGATCTAAGGGAAATTATCGAAAATATCATTTTTTCTAGATTATTAGAAATAAACCCTAATTTTTTGACACTTTATTCGTATCCATTTTCACTAATGTTTACAAATTTTTGACAAAATGCCCTCTACAGTAATCTTAGATATGTGAAAGCATCACAATTTTAGTATAACCGTATTTAAAGCGTCGTGATGGGTTTTTCAACTATAATGGTTCTAATTAAACCGAGAAGGGCATCACAGTGATGTGAAATTTGTGATACTTAAGGTATTTAAAGCGTCGAGATGGGTTTTTCAACTATAATGGTTCTAATTAAACGAGAAGGGTATCGCGGTGATGCGAGATCTGTGATAGTTAAGGTAATCATCATAGTTAAGTACTATGATGGTTTTAATGTTGCCCATCATCACGACCCTAATAAAGCTGTGACGACTTAAGCCTCACACCAACCGCTTTTGAACCCTCCACGACCATCGTGGTTATGAGTTAACGGTGATGCCCTCATGGACCTATTACTTTCATGAATGATATTTTAGTAAAAAAAAAAACTGTGACAGGTGGTGAGAAGGGATGGATGGGGTTTTGAAAATTTTGGGATTTTTTTATAATAACCTGAAAAAAAAGGAGATATTTTATTGTTTTATATAATTTCCCTTGATTTAATCACCCCATCCATTCATTTTAAAGAATTACAAAAACAATGTAATAATGAGCGTCAATCAACTCCTTTAAATCGTTTTTCATCAACCTATTTAGAATAATTACAAAGAATATTGCATCTAACAAAGTCTGAAAAAATATCCAGTGCCATCTAATACTTGGTTTTTAAAAGGGGAAAATTTCTCCATACCCGCTATTTGTAGGTTTCATTTCACAATATATTGTCTGTGAAATATATTACTGGCGTAGTACCTTACTGCGTAATACATTATCTGCAACTGGATTGTCACTGTTTGGGTAGTATTTAGATGCAACCTAGGCAATACATGGATTGTCACTGTTTGGGTAGTATTTAAATGAACTTCAAAATACATTGTTATTATTTGGCTATGTTCAGAAGAAATATGGGAAATGCATTACCAACATTTTTTTTTTCTTTTTTGGCTTTATACCCAAACAATGGTTGGACGTACAATCCCTATTAGTATGTAGCTTAAATTTTTTCCGTATTAGTATGTAACTTAAACTTTATAATTGCCTTTGCGTCTTAACACTTTGGAATAACATACTTTTATTATGATAAGCCATCATATTTTTTATGTTTTATACCCAAAACATGGTTGGGCGTACAATCCTTATTAGTATGTAGCTTAAATTTAGTCCCTATTAGTATGTAGCTTAAACTTTATAATTGCCTTTGCGCCTTAACACTTTGGAATAACATACTTTTATTATGATAAGCCATCACATTTTTTATGTTTTATTTTCTTGTGCTAAAGCCTTTCAATCATCTTTATCCAGAAAAACTTCCATGAGCAAATTCAAAAGAAAAAAAAAAAACTGGAGAAATTTGCCTAGTAACACTTTATGACTAAATGAGATTTATTGGAGGAGAAATTATGTTAGTGCATTGGAAGAGAAATTATGTTAGGGTATTGGAGGAGATTGAAGATGTAAATTAATTTTAAAAAGTTATGAAAAAAAAAAAAACAATTAAAGCACATTGATTTGGCGATTATGAATGAACTCAAGTATTTCGAATTTATCAACAAAAATAAATAAACAGATTGATTTTAACTGACAACCCAAATTTGTTTATTTTTTTTGGAACAATAGCCTACAATTGTGGTTGCATAACCCAACAAATAAATATTGGATATCTAGCAATAAACAATAATTAAAAAATAAATATTGGATATCTAGCAATAAACAATAACTACAACTATAGTTGAAGAACATGATTCTGCCGGTTTTAGCGCTGATAGGTTTTAGCAGCTAGTTAAAGAAAATGGGGTTGTTATGTGATTTTTGAGGTTTAAATATATATGCCATTCGGTTAGCAAAGGAGCGATTGGTTGGTTTGCAAAAGAGCGATTGGTTGTAGAAGATGGAGCTGCAGCTTTGATTTTTGAGGTTTAAATATATGTGCCATTCGGTTTGCAAAGGAGCTGAGTTGCCGCATTTTAGGTACGAGTTGAAGATTTTTTTTAGTTTATTAGGAGGTGAATCATTAGATTTTTGGGGCTAGGTAGAAACACACCTTGAAAGATTTCCTTGATTACGGAAGCTAAAGATTTGCCCAGATTACGATTTTTCATCATTTTTGGGGAAATCTTGAGTAATTTTTTTTTCATTTTCTTATTACTAAAGTGTACCTAAACAAATGGAAATGTCATATTTTTGGGTAATCTGTTTTCATATAATAGATTTATATGTTCCCAAATAGCCCTTAAGTTTTAAAAGATATATTGGGCATAAAAGTTATAGATTTTATTTTTTTTTAACCCTGAGCTAATTTAAATATATTTTTTCAGGTAAAATAAATTTAAAAAGATATAAATTTTTTAAAAGCCATCATCCCAAACATCTAGAGAGAAAAGAGCTTCATAGAATTGTAGGAGGCATAAAAGTGTTTGGAGAAATATGAGAGGAGAAAAATTGTGAAAGACATTGAAAAGATAGAAAAAAATACTTTTGGGATATATAAGTGAAAAGAGAAAGGATCTAGGTTAAGAAATAATATATTATGTATTTTAATTTAGTTTAGGTTAAAAAATAGGTTAAAGGATAGGTTTAAGTAGCGTAGAATATATCGTTCGAAAATTTGATTTATCCAAGGAACAGCCCTAATTGCATGCGTTGTAGAGGGAGAGAGAAACGGCCTCGGGGCAGACAGAAAGCCATTGAGCTGGCCTGCAATCAATTACAGGAGCCGAAGAGAGAAAGGGGGTGGAATTTTCCTTTGGAAGAGTAGAGAGAGCGGAGTGTGGAACACTCCAGAGAGAGAAGAGTGAGCAACCTTTTATTCGGTATAAGTATAAATAGAGAGAGAATACTGTAATCTTCCGCTCGTGCTGCCATTGGAGTAGAGCTAAGTTTGCCATTTGAGTAGAGCCAAGTTCAATGATGGAAAACACGCCCCCCTACACAGAGCTCTATGCTCTGTTACATATATCGCCAGAAGCTTCAGACGAAGAGATACGAAAAGCATACAGGCAATGGGCTCAGATTTATCACCCAGACAAGTACCAGTCTTCCGAGGTATCCTCCGTTCACTGTAATTTGTATGATATTGTAATGTTGGGTTTTTCTATTTGCATGTAAGAACAAATGGAAGAAGACGTTGGGTTTTGTTATTTGCTAAAAGCAAGTGGAAAAAGAGATCGCTTTTACTAATACAGAAGAAAAATAATGATGGGTTCGTTTTCTTATCAAACAAAAACTGAAGAAATGATAATGTAAAAGGAAGGGATTGGATGATTGGACTTTGGTTTTTATGTAAAATGATGGGTTCTTTTTTTATTGTTATGTCTTTGTTATCAGTTCTGATTCTGATTGCACGCTTTGTTATTATTGTTGGTACTTTTATGTTGTTATTGTTGCTTGTAGGCATAATCGACAATGCGTGGGTTCGGATATTTGCTCATGTGCTTACATCTTTTGCAATGCTTTTAGATGCTCATTTGTGCTTGTATGAGTTCATGTGTTGAAGTGCATAAATGCTAACCTGTTCAAGCTCCACTTAGTGTTTTTTGTATTAGATTCTACCCAAGTTCTATGGATTACTTGTTTAGTGTCATCTCTAGTATTTAGATGTCTTATCACTGGTCTGATGTGATGGTATTAAGAAATGAGCCTGCAAAAATGGTCATTGATTTGAGTTATTTCCTTGGTTTCAGATGAAAGATATAGCTACTGAGAATTTTCAACGAATTCGCCATGCTTATGAAATTTTATGCGATGAACATAAAAGGCAAATATACGATATTTATGGAATGGAAGGAGTAACTTCAGGTTTGGAGCTTGGACCAAAGTTGAATAAACCTGAAGAAATCAAGGAGGAGTTTGAAAGATTAAAACGTCGACGAGAAGAAGAAAAGGCATCCGCTCATGTTCAGCCTTCTGGTTCTATACTTGTAAATTTGTCTTTGCCACAGTTTCTAAATGGTGGTGGCATCTTGAGAGGGTACCCACCTTTCCATTTTGTTTTCTTTTGCAAGAGCCGTTTACTTCTTTTGGATATGTGGTGATAATTATTTGAAAGTAATGTTTCATCATGAACTTTGGTTTCTATGCTGATTTGATTACATCGAGCATATAAAAATGAAATTGGTCACATGGAAGTATGGATGTGGTCTTCTGTTATCATACTCGGTATTAGTTGCTTATGTTCTTTAGTTGTTTTGTGATGATATTTGCATGTGAGAACTTGGTTATGCATCAATGCTAGTTGTAAACGACAAAGTGCTATGTTGCTATATAAGCTTTTTATCTTCAAGTGTTTGCTTGAATTGTTTCTTCAACTTGAGAGAATTCTCTTTAATTTACCTTCCTAGGGAGTGCCTAGTGTTCTGGTTCTTTGCAGGCTAACAGTTTCTCTCCCATTATCAGAAAAACTATCGGTTTCAATCTCTTCCCAATCCATCATATGACAGAATAACAATGACTGCAAAGTGCAGTCTCAAATATATAAGACAAATATTGTTTCCCAAGGTGGAAACGTGGCAGTCAACAATTTCTCTCTCATAATCAAAAAAAAAACTACAAGTTTTTTTCTCTCACACATCCATCATATGACAGAATGGGAATGGCGAGCGAAGTGCAATCTCGAATATCCAAGAGAAACACTGTTGCCTTAGGTGGAAACTTGGCGGTCAGTGGAAATTCCGGTGGAGGAGGTGCAACGGCTGTTCTCAGGCACCAGGCTTCTTCGGTTGCTTCCATAGAATTCATGGCTTCTGCTGGTTTACGTTCCCTTCTCGGGATACAAACATCTCGGTATGGAATTTTGTTTTAGGCCTGAATAATACGATCCATAGCATCATCATAACCCCATGGTATGAAGTTATCACCATCTTATCAAGGAATTGGACAGTGATGGAGGGGATCGGGTTCCACTATAAAGTTCAATTCATGAAATGTTCTTCCGTATTTTTCTTGTCATCACTGCCCAAACAATTGATTGGATGATGATAAACCATACGTTCATGTTTGCTAGTATAAAATACATGGATCATATATTATCCTTTTTTTTAGTTTTTTTTTTTGTTTGATGGAGTGTATTTTTCCTTTCTCTTACAAGTTATATTGCATACGTAGTATATATAGTACAAATTGGTTTATCCAAAATAGGTAGCCTATGTAGGTATACAGCAAACAGCTGGAGTTTCACTTTATGTTTCCTACAATAGTCGGTGGGAATTAATCATAGCTCCCAATGACTGAACATTCATCTGGGTGCAATTTGTCTTCACCATCCATTGTTGAAAATAGATGGTGGATGCCCAGATGATATCATATGCCACTCTCAAGTCATGTAAATTAAAGATAAAGGTACAGAATGTTGTCAGATTCTGTGGAAATTTTTTAAATTTGTGCATTTGGTTAAACTGTTTATTTGTTGTGTTGTTGATTCAGTCATGTATCACTTCACTCAACTGCTACGAGTGGGATCACAGTTTCTCTGAGAGATGGTTCAATCAATCTTTCGAACACCTGGACTCGTCAACTATCTGAGACATCCACTGGAAATGTAAGGTTTCTTAATGTAGCACCTGGACTTAGTTTCAATAATTTTTCCATTTTATTCCGTTGATGGTTTGTAAATAATTAATGTACTTTTAACCCTCATTTGATAAAATATCATATCAAAGAATGCACATCTGCTGCATGCTTGATTAGGTATATTTATATGCGTGTATCATGTGCATGCTTGTGGAGAGATCTTGTGGAGAGTTTTTTTTCCCCCCTCCAACTGTACTGTTTTTTAACCTTGTCAAGTATGAAGGAAGCTTTAAACGAACCTATTTTGCATGTAACATGCGAAATATGGCAAGAATATGTTGTGAGCTTTCCTTTATATTTGGGTCAGGTTAATCGACAATGTTACTTGTGAAATAGTTGACTCCTTTTCTTTCCAGATACAACTCATTTTTGGAGTAGAACCAACTATAGCTGTTGGATGGCAAAGGAAGGAAGAGAAAAATTCGGCTGCTGGGGAGTTGAAGGTAGGAGATCTAGTGTTGAGCTTAATGAGTCCTTGTGAATTGTGATCACTTAAACAAATATTATGTGTTTTCTTTTTATCTTCAATCTTAAATAACCTTCTAAGCCCATCATGTACGGTGCAATATTATGGTTCCCCATACATATCGAAGCTCAAATTATCAAAAAAAGAAATAAAAAAGATGTGGAGGCTCTTAGCCACCAACAGATGGTGCTGTACCTAGATATTTGATTTATCAGGTACACATGTATAATGACGGCGATGTTGACATTGTTGAGGAGTTTCCTCAAGATTATGAACTTGAATATGAAGATACTTTGGCCACCATGGAAATTTGACAGTCTTTGACTTGTTTGCCTTGGCTTCACATTATGAGTGATTTCCTTGCCTACTAGTTATGAAGAAAGATTTTTTGTTTCGTGACTTGTACAAGGAAATATATTTGTGTCGTTACAAGTGATAAATTTATTTGTCATGTATGCTCAAGGTTATGTGGTTATGCCAGCCATGTGTTCTTTGTAATTGAGCTGAATTTTTTTTCTTTGGTTCTGTAGTTTGGTACTGGTTCTTTTGGAGCATCTGGACATTATACTCGTCACTTCTCTGCCAAATCTCATGGTAGAATCGCTGGTAGAATTGGAAGGTTGGTGATTGCACTTTACTTGATATCCAAGTCACTGAGTTCATGAATTATGGCTATCAAAATAAGTAGTGTTTTGGTAGAAGTATGATGGGTGATGTTTGGTTTGAAACCCATGTTAATGTTGTTTGGGAAATTATGCTAATATCCCCTAATTTTGCGGTGTTAGAATAATGTCCTGCATATGTTACATTTTAGACTAATGTCCCTTTTTTCATGTTTTTCTATTTTTTCTCAAAATACCCATGTTCAGAACTATTAGTTCTAAACCGCTCATTGTAAGGAATCAAAGCAGTCAGAACTAATAGTTCCAGTCTTCCAGAACTCATTGTTAGGAATCAAATGGGCTTAGACTACTAGTTCCGAAATTGCTCATTGCAAGGAATCAAAGTGGTCCAGAACTATTAGCTCCTTACTGCTTATTGTAAGGAATCAAAGTGGTTTGGACTGTTAGTTCCAAATCACTCATGTAAGGAATCAAAGTGGACCGGACCTAATGGTTCCTGATCCATTTGATTCATTACAAAAAATATTAGATCAAAGCTCCTGATCAATTTGACTCCCTATAAAAAGAATAGATCAAAGGGATCTAGAACTATTAGTTTCGAATTACTAACTGGAATTTCATTGAGCATTCTGGTACTAATAGTTCCAAACCACTTGTAAAAGATAAAAAAAGAAAAAAGGACATGGAAAGTGTTATTTTTTTAAATATTGCTAATTATAAGGGATATTAGCTTAAAATCCTATGTTTTTTATCACCATCTTAGCTTGGGACTTGGCCATATTTTGAGCCGAATTGTCTTGTAAGAGGCATTTCAATAATACGAAATGCGTGATAAAAAAAAGAAGAAGATTTGGCTGAGTTACGAGATTGAAATATCGCTGTCATTGGGTCATCCGGATCAATTTGTGGGACTCATTTGGATTTCTGTATATTGTTATCAATTGCTGAATTCTATGCACTTTTGCATTTTTTCCTGATACATATAAAGATGATTATCATGGGTAAGAGCTTGTGAACCATTTGGTCATATTGGAAATAAGCAATTGCCTACCATGGTTGCTTTATGCTAGCTATTTTTTTGAAGAAATTTGGGGTACATTGACGCCTAATATTGTTGAATGTGATAAAGCTGTGATGAGAAAGTTATTTTATGTTTGCTAGATTCAGTCTCTTGATTTTGGTAGTTGCTGGTCCACAAGTAGATTTTATCTTTGAGTCTTCAGTTCCAAGTCTACTAACTTAATGGTAATCGCCTATTTCGACATAGCACATTTGCATGTTGGTCAAGTTAAACCTATGCTTCCCATGAGGCCTCATTGCTGAGCATTCGTAGATGCCTGTGGATATTAGGTCTTCAATTTTAGGCGTTTCTATGTTCTTTAACTTGCTATAGACTTCCAACATATAGGTCAACATGGTGACAACATTAGCATTATTATTTTCATTAACAAAATTTAAACTTAAAACTTAGTATTTTTTGTTTGTATATGGGCTTTCCTATGGAGGCATTTGTTAAAATATTGAGTCATCCTCCTTAATGTCTTAAAATTTTGCCCTGTTCTTTCCTTCGTAGATATACTTGCTTATGTTTGCTCTTACTCTTTATAATGTTGTCTCCTTAATAGAAGTTTATTGCCATTGTATTTTATCAGTTGCATTACTCATGTGTCTCACATGACATCCCTCATGCTGCAGTACTGCTCTTGAATTTGAAGTGGGAGGTGGCAGAAAAATTTCGGATTATAGCACAGTGCGGATGGTTTATACTATAGGCATTCAGGTGACGTTATTTTATCATTTATGTAAGTCCAAATGGATTTTGTTATCATGCATCTTCTCTTCTGTATGAATCCAATTTTTGTTGCATGGGTTGTTGATTATCTTGTGCATTTCCTTCTTTCTTTCTTTTTCTTATATGTGAGATATGCCTACTGTATTAAGAACCAAAAGGTTCATTTTGTCAAACAACGTAAACTTTGGATTGGAAAACTATCAACTACATGGTTTGATTATATGCTTATGGTTACCCGGAACATGTTATACACAGTTGTCTCTTTGTATGCTGAGATTAGTTCTCTGTGCTATTTTTAGGGCATCTTTTGGAGATTCGAATTACATCGTGGAGGCCAAAAACTCATTGTTCCTGTAAGTTTTTTTTTCTAAATATATTTTTGATTTTTTATTTTTTTGGGCATTTTATGTATGTTCTTTGTTTAGATTTCCTGCTAACCTTGTGTTAAACTGCCATTGATTTTTATTTATCGACAAGCAATATATATATATATATATATATATATATATATATATATATGTATGTGTGTGTGTGTGTGTGTGTGTAGTTAGTTGTATATATAGTCGTCGTACTAACTAAACTAAACTAACTAACGTAAAGGTAACGTACGTACCTACCTAACCTAACGTATAACTAACGTAAGTAA